TTTTTTTCTTTAACAGCTCCAACCAAATTACTCGCTACTACACGTTACCCTTCAATTTATTACGACATACGAGAGAAAAGTATTAAAAGCGCAGCGATACAAAAAAAGAACCAACTACAATTTCATTTTCGAATCGATCCCTTAATCATTCCTTGTGTTGATTTTTCAGAAGATAAATCAGGACATTTAAGAAAGAAGGGGGGGGGGAGAGATAGGGAAATTAAACGTTCAATGACCTGGATTTACAATATATACATAATTTTGCATCAGGTATCGCAACCTTTAACACGTTTCTGTAGTCACTTTCACTTTACATAACACTTTGCTTTATGCCGCAGATGTGTTTAGTAATCCAACTATGTCGCACGATTAACATCATTATTGAGTAAAAAATTAATTCGTCCGTTCATTGTAGTGGTGGAGATTTACGTCACAAATAGATCAAGAGTTGTCGCTACACCAAGAGCAATTTAACTCCAGGTTAAATGTATATGTATGCTGTACGTGCAAAGCAGGAGACTTAGTTACACAATTAATGCCGTAATATACGTGTCTAAACTAATTACTCGAAACTCATCAATGAAAATGTAACTGTAAATAAGAACGCCCCACGGAGCGCAACTAACAAATTATCCAATTGCCATTGCAAAGGGAACGCAAAAGGAAATGTATCGAGAAAGAGAAAGAAAGAACGACGATACGTTATCCTTCCTCTTGTATCGATATCCGACGAGGTAAAACGACCGTCTCTGTACGCACTTGAACCGTGACAGCTGTCAAAAGTGGCGAAGCGTCCACGGCACGGCGCAGGTGCAAGAGCGACCGTTGAAAGGAGAAAGACAGAGAGAAGGGGAGAACGAAGGCGAAGGAAAATAGAAGAGAAAGAGAAACGAAAGGTGGGCCGATGATCGGCGTAGGGCACGCAGGTCTTGCGTTGTTACGAGCGAGAAGGAAGTAACGAGTTAAGGAGAAAGAGAGAGAGGGAGAGAGAGAAAGGTTAGAACCGTACAGTGAATTCCGAGTGAGACGGCGCGGTGGTGGGTACCTGTCAGCGCGCATTCCACAGTCCCACAGCGTGTTTTTGCCTCGCCGTTTGCCACCACTGGACTTATGCCTTTCTGGACGATAAGAACACCAAGCTACATACGATCCAGGATGGGATTTAAACGCGCACACACTGCAACTTATTCACGAGAATAAACGTATCACTTGCCACAAGTAGCCGGTTGATCGCGTGTTACTCGCGGCGCGAACATGGCGCACAATTCGTACGGCATTCACCATAAAAACGCATAACAACCGTGGAGCAACGGATATGTTTTCTACCGGTGCGAGAGAGAGTTGAAGAAGCGACGCGAACAATGGAACGTGACTTAAGGACACCGGAGAGCGCGAGAGCCAACTTTACACCGCGGGGTAAATACTAGAACAAAACTCGCTGCTTTCGCCCGCGGAGCGCGGCCGTGCTGGCCAATCCCCACCCGCGCAATGCCGCCACGTGGTACACTGCTTAACCAATCACAAAGTGGTTACGCGAGGCCCCCCGGACGTGTTCGTAAAGCCGGCTCGCTACCGATCAGTTTCTTCTTTCCTTCTCTCGTGCCGATTTAACATTTGAACGACATAAAGGAACACGAAGGACCGTCGGTCCTTTTGCCTGTATGCTCGAATCGAACCTCATTTTCTTTTTCTCCGTTTTTGGCGCGACAATGCTTCACTGCTCCATGACTGAGAAACCATCGTATATACGTATGATTCGGCGAAGAAGATTGCAACAGGATCAAATGGAAGACCGATTAAAATATCTTTGCGTCGATGAATAAACACACCGGTATCGCCTGCAGCGCTTGTAACTTTCCGGTTTCTATTCTCGCTACATAGTGTACATAACGCGGCTGGAACACACCTCTAAAGAAAGAATTACGTGCATTTGTACAATTTTTGTAGATAGATCAATTTTCCAACGTTAGCCATCTCGTGTATTCGTTTATCTTGAACTGATACAAAGAGATATGTATGTGTATCTATGCATGTAGAAATAACGTGTAAAAAAAAAACTCACGTTGACGTATCCCGTCGCTTTGTTTTAAAAATGCGCCGCCTACTTGTCAAAACGTCTCGCTGTTATCACGAAACGGTCTTTTGTAGATACATTTGTATGTAGTATGTATACGCGACTAGCATTCGTTACATATATTTGCATACACAACTCAATGGATCTGCGAGCGACTGAATAGATAACTATGAGCATTGCCTTGAATCGTGATCAATAAAATTGACTCGAGCGATATATCTCGTGGTTTGTTCCGTGGGAACAATCGACATCTAAACAGAAAGATTAGTCATACCTGTTATACCGTCACGTTCTCTATCAGAATAAAATAATAATCAAACTCGACGGTAAAATAAATAATTATATCATTGTGATAACGCACATAGAGATGAGACAAATAGAGCGATGAGACATCTTTAGCAATCGATTTATTGCTTACATAATTATTAAACAATTAATATTAGAATATCTCACATAATGAGTCAATCTCTTAATTATATTCACGACAAACCAGATTCTTCTGTTACTTACTACACACACAAGCTCTATCAGCTGATCATCCGGTGAAAGAAATTACGAATACTCGCTATCTGTGTAAAACCGCACGTGTAATCGATAGAGCAAACCAATTACCTCTTCGATCCAAATTATCAGTAACTAAACAAAATACTGTCGTTCACACATGCGCAATGAAAGTTAAATGATAGAAATACATCGCAACGGTTACATAGTTTAATTGTTGGTATACGATCGCACAATACACGCTCATCAACAAACGATCTGTCATGCTTCACGCGAAACATAGATCGTCTTGTGACGCGCAACGCTTCGTCCCGGCGAATTTTCTAACGGGTAACCTGTTTCGAAAAGACAGTTCGATCGGTACATCGATCCAGTCACCGAAACGAACGACAGGCGGCTCTGAATTCGACTCGAGAGGTCGCTGGCGATCCATCTCTTGGCGGTACGTGCGACGAGAGGAGTGTGTAACGGGCCAACGGGCCATTTACGTGCTAGTCGGTGGAATTAGTTTCTTTTTTTGAGGCAGGTCACTGACACCGAACGACGATGGATTGACGCGGCGGGGTCAAGTTCTACGCCGTGCCTCGAGTTTAAAGGTATCGCCGTATCGAGCACTTCTTGCGGGATATCGCGTTACGGAACCACGATCAATCGTTTAAACCTAGTCTATGACTATAGAACGAAGGGTGCAAATTGCAAATCGTTGAGAAAGCTGCATGAAACGCTGTTACTTGTAAGCAACCCAGCTGTACAATACACGTTTGCCTTAGAATGAGAGAAAGATATTTCGAATCTTGTCTCACATTAATTTATGCTGAAATGTACAATTTGTGATCCCATTATATATTTTGAGTCGATAACCGATTGAAACTTTGGTTCGATGCGCGCGCAACATTACCTACTACACGAAGTGTACTTAGAAAAATATACAAAACTAGTTTTCCTAGTTGACACTAATTTTCTAATTTGTGCACGAACAGCAGGGTTATATTACACGCTGCTTAAATGCTGTTATTTGTAGTTAAGTCAGCTTTTATATCGTAGTTACTCGTATTTAAAATGTCACGTATTCAGATATTAAGTTATACTTGCTTCATCGAAACGTATACGTATATCTCGCAAAGTGTTGTTTTTATTAGTTCTAATTGTATAAAATTTGAATTCCAAGAATCTTTGAAAACAAGGAGCCTGATGATTTTATACGGGAATTTCTCATGAAATATGTACACCCTATTATAAGAAACTCATAATATTACAGAATCCATGAAATCATCGAAGAATGAAGGAATGATATACAATGAATTAAAACGTAATTACAGTTATATGTAATTGCGTTACACAAATGTTAGCTGCATGTTGAAGTTATAAAATATATGGATAGGTATAATAATTTTCAAAGCAATCTTTGAATGCATCTTTCAGAGCATCTTTCAGAGTCGGAGCGAAAAATGTAGAAATAAATTTCTAGCATAACGAAAATAACGGTGTGAAATCAAGATAAGAATTTGTAATTAATCATCGAGCTTGAGGAAATACTAAAGTTTATTTCATTTTTCTTCACTTAATTTGTTCTTCTTTTCCAGTAACTTTACAGTTCTCAGTATGTTACAATATATTTCTACAGTGTTAAATATATTAATTAAATCTTAAAAATGATGGAAAGTAAATTGATACTACTATCAATGTAATGTTTTTTTTTTCGATCGAATAAGTCTTTCGAGAAATTATATCCAGTTCAATATGTTCAACGAGTTATTTCACATAACCGAACAAGTCACATCTAATCAGTATTCGTGAGAACACTCGTGTAAAAATAATGTAACTAAATCAGTGCATTCGTTTAAGCATTAGTAAAAAAGAGAGTAACAAATTTGCTGTGTTAATCAAATCAAATTGTGTCGATAATTTCAAAAAAAATAGATTTGAGAAAGTTAAATTTGATATTTATATCATGAGAATGCGAAAATATGTTATAAAAATAATAAAAAATCACTTAGTAATGTCGAAAAAATATTTTCAATATAATTAGAATTATCAATAGCAGAACGGTAACGGTAGTGTAAAAATTAGAAATAATCGTAAACTTTTTTGTCGGGTGTGTAAATGTCAGACCGACATTACGTTAAAATGCCCCACATAAATTTCAACGCGAGACAAGCACATCCCTTCGTTTATCACTTCTTGAAATCTGATTTCAATTTTATAGTCTGCCCTAAATTTCTAGTTCCGCGTATATAGATACGCATGATAACATTCTTAATTGAATATTTGCAAAAGCTTTCATTGATTGATTAAATACTTGAAACTTGAATACGAATAAAAAACCATTGGATAGAAATCAATTAATTTTTCATTATGCAATATTTGCTTTTCATTGGAAATTTAGTTATTCGGAAAAGTATATCAGATGTTGCTTTGATTGAAAAAGTTCTAAGTATCGACAAAATTTACGACAGACGTAGAAGAACCAAAAGAGAACTTATTGTGATGTAGTTGAGGATTCACTTTCTCGGATAATTTAAATTCACAGTGAAAGTGCCTATCAGAGGCGTGCAGCATTCAATACCTGCAGGAACTTCGCAGCGAATAAATATTGTAATTAACTAGTTCCTTCCTTTACTTGAAGAGTTACGATACAAGAAAGTCAATATCGATTCCTTTGATCTCGTCAAAGTTCACAGATCTACAACGTGCTAATGAAATCAGATTTTCGATAAGAAAATGCCTATAAAATTCCTTTCTATTCGTTTTATTTCCCATATTTTGATCTATATCGCGAGTTATTGCTATTATCGTCAATTTTAGATTATTATAATATGTTGCAAAAAGTTACGATATCATTATATTATATTATTTCCCAAAATGTTGTATTTATAGTTTTATTAAATTCCTTTAATTATATATCATTAATTTTTCACAGTGACAGACGAATCTCCTCGAGCTAAGAATAGAATCTCTGATTTTTATTTTACTTGCCCGTCAGCATTCAACGAACCAGAATAAAATGGACAATACGATTAGTTCCAAGATGAGCCCAACTCGGTGTATATCGGATGATACATTTCCACCAGATTCTGGAAAACATATAACAGATTTGTTACAGACAAAACAAAATGACATAGAAGCAGCTGTACTTATAAAAATATATAATTATGTGAATCGAGGTAAACTTATAAAAGGTTCAACATTTTGAGTTGAAAGATACACAGTGACGAAGGTAAGAAATCTTTAAAAAGTTATTCCTCTCCTGCCGACATTTTCTCACCATAATCGTAATATTGCAGTGGTTCCGTGGTTTCGTCCTCACAGTCTTCTTCAACGGATCTGATCTCTATGAACCCCTTCTTTTCGGGTTCGTCGACCTCCAACGCATTCACTGCGTAATCGGACCTTGCCTCTCGAATATACTTCCTGGGGCTCCGACGACCCTTCGCCGAACTTCTAAGTCCGATCTAAACAAACCCAGGAAAAGATTTATGCCTAAGTACTAACCGTAATTGTAATAGCTTGCTGCCTCCGGCTCGGTCACCGTCTCGTCATTGTTCTCCTCGTCCTCCTCGTCTTCGTCATCCTCGGCGAAATTGTCGTCGTTGTCCCCTTCTTCTTCTTCTTCGTCGTCTTCGTCGTCGTCGTCGTCGTAGTCATCTTCGTCTTCATTGGTATAATCGGCGTCATCGCCTAATCGACTTCTTAGAATGGAACGATATCCACGGTTGCATTTAAAGTTCTTGTTTGCCAATCTATTTTCGCACAATACGTAGCTATTCTGTTGATCAGTGGCGGGAGCTTGTAGAAGGTTACGCTGTGCCACACGCGCTGATTCTGGAAAAAAGGAATGCTAAATCAGTGAATAGATCGTTATTAAGTGAAAAAGATTTAGCTGAGAAATTAATTAAAGAAATTAACTAAAGCTTGATAAATAGGGATCTAAGAAATTCGTGTTAGCAAAGATATTGAAGTTATTAAATTCGAGATGTTGCATTCAGTATTTTTCAACCGGAAAATTAAAATTTGATTGACATTAAGTACCTTGGAGGAAGGGCACGTTTAACAAGGACGTAATTTACGAAGGGATAACGTAAATACAAGCAAGGTCTATCTCGTTTCGCTCGGTCATCGGGATCAATCAAAATAACGAGATCAATCAAAGTCACAAGATCACTCTCGGTTACGTATTATCTAGCTTATATATTATCTAGAAAGTTCACGAGTTCAAGTTCACGTCGTAAGTTCAAGAATATGTAAAAATATCACCATAGTTGTTTATTTGAGGTTAAAAGAAAATTTGTTTAACGACGATTATAAAGTCACTATTTTCTTAATTGCTAAACTCGCTAGACTCGCAACTCTTAACTCATTCTCTTCTCTCTCTCTCTCTCTCTCTCTCTCTCTCTCTGTCTCGCAACTCTTAACTCTCACTATCTTCTCTCTAACTTCTCGACACTCACTGTGTTCTCTCTGACTTCTCCACACTCACTGCCTTCTTCCTCATCTGCACAAAATTCGTCATTCATACACACAAACGCATCCATACCCTTAATATCTTAAACGCTAGGCCTGGAGGGCCCAATCCCAAGTCCCAGGTAGTTCTCTACAGTTTCTGCAATCTGCAATTGTCTGGCACTGAATAAAGTCCTTTCTCAGAATTTGCCCATCTCACAATAGTATTGAAATAATTTGAAATTCGTATATTATAGATGCGTGTCTTTCCAACATTTCATCTCTTTCTAAAATCTGTGTAATTTTCATTTAAAAAAATATCGAAATATCTTTCTTAGTAAGTATTCTAAAGTCTTGAGTATTTTTAGTCTTAACCGTCTTCCTATTATTCTACATACATACAACATTCGAAAATCGTAAATATAACAAGTTAGTTACCTTCGGATTTTTCGCGCTCATCGATCTCATTAGCTTCGTCGAAATCAATGCTCTTACTAGGATCGAGTTCTCCTTCGAAAGTGAATGTCCCGGTGTTGCACCCTTCGGCAGAAATGCATGGTTCTGTGAACCTGACCGCTCTCATAATTCCACCGACGATGTTTACTTCGCAGTAACATTTACCGAAGCTACCTGGACAACTAGAAAAGTTCATATCTTTCATCACGGTCGGTACGAATTTCCTGGAAAGAGCGTTGGCTCACCAAAACGATCCTGGACCAATGCAGTCTATGGCTGGTTTTCCTCTGAAAAATCAAACGATATTCCATCAATGTAATCTTTTTGGCAAAAATGATATTCTTAATTTGTAAAAATTTGCAGAGTACTTTTTACATGCGTACGAACGAAAATCGTCTCAATCAACAATGAATATTTCTTAAATACTTTTTTTCTATCGTCAAACTAACAAAGATTGAGTTTTTGAAGTACAATGGTACATATTATAGTGAGAAAGATGAATATTGCAATTATTATTATATTTCTTAAATACTATTTTTCTTTTAATATTTCTTAAATACTTTTTTTCTATCGTCAAACTAACAAAGATTGAGTTTTTGAAGTACAATGGTACATATTATAGCGAGAAAGATGAATATTGCAATTATTATTTGTCGTATTTGTATTAACTTTTAGTCTTATTTACGTTACTTGATCTTGGCATGATGTAGTAACTATCACGAATCCTCTACCACAAGTATTGTTGCATTTTGGAAGGGACCATCGCGTCCATAAGGAATTAATTTCCGCTGGAATTGAAGTTGAAGGCCCAATTTCTTCGCAGAACTTAAAATAAAGTACATATAAAGATATCAGTAACTTATGGCCGATAGAAATCAGAATAAGATAATATAAAATTAAACATTAAAATGAAAGAAAATTATAATTTTAACATTTGTCAAACATTCAGTTGTTGTAATTGCCTAAAATAAAGTAACATTACTGATTGTCTCTGATGGCAATTCGAGGCACATTGAAGAGTGTGTATTTTTTTGATCGCGGTGCATTGTGCAATACCATAAACCCCACGTGGAGAACTTTCAGGTAAGGGATTCAGAAAACACGTTGGAAACCCTGAACATATTGATTTTCATTCATAAAATTTCTATAATTTTTTATTGTTAATTGAAGTACATTATATAACCTTTAGTCTCGTGCAATCCTTGGCCCGCTACAAGACTGGAACAGTTACAGCTTGAAGCATTTTCGACATGCCAAGTGATATCGCATAATTGTCTGTGAAATCTAGCATTTGTGTTTGAATGTGGAGTAGCTTCGTTAAAAGAGCAATCCGTTTTCCTAAGTCTTGTCAATTCGGGCGAATATAAATTCCAGGTGTGAAGAATCAAACAAGGACAAATCCCAAGGAAAAATTCAGCGACTTCAGAGTTATCGGGAAGTTTTGATTCGAAAGGTATGCTACGTAATTCGACGAACAACTAAATATTAAACAGAACTGTATTGCATGAAAGTTTAAGCTTTCGTTAAGCTTTCGTTAAGCTTCGTATTATGCGGAAAAAGAGTTTGTAGTGAAATTGTTTGCAAAGAGGAAAGTATTTTTTGCGAAGCATTTTCTGCTTACAGCACAAAATCCTTCTCCGATTTCTACGAAAGCACATTGTTACAGATGCAATTGCCGTACCCAACGTGTTATATCGTAATTTGGCGACTCATTTAAATCTCTGGATACTAATAAAAATGGGTTCCAATTATTGTTATTCACACTGAATCCATCAACGATACAGCGAGCTTTCCAACGAGAAAGTATTAATACTATCGATAAGAATGTAAGTATAAACATGGCCTAAGTGTTGACATCATAGATTGAATCATGATAAAAGTTAGAGGTCAAACAAATATATGTATAATAACTTGAAGTTGCTTCGCTTTTAATAATTTATTGATACATGTTACGTATCCTACATATTGCTTTCTGAAAATATTAAATAAATAGAAAATTTATAAAAAATAATGTTAAAAACATATCTTCTCTGATGATAGTTTAATGAACACATAAATATAGTTTCCACATATATTTTTATATACACTATGTCATTTTAAAAGAAACATTTTTAAAATGCCATTTAGTACCTGAAACAAACTTTTAAAATAATAATTTGCCTAAAAGCTAATACTCTTACAGAACTTTTAATCAAAATGTAAAACATGTCATGATATGTAACATTTGTATTTAAATACACAAGTTATCATATATAATCTGCAATTCCTTTGTCGCAAAACGTTATTCTGGATTTTTTTCCAAATATGCTTTTGTTACAACGTCTGTTCGAAGATGTTTAAGTGTTACAAATTCTGTGCTTTTGCAACCTATAACTGGACACCTGTAAACACAATATATGGTTAAAACTATTTATGTGTGACAAACTTTTTTAGTAAATATTTACCTGGTTTTTTTATTAACTTTCAATATCTGTGTAATACTTTGTTGATCATAGGTGTGACCACATATAATATTCTTCACAGGGTCCACAATTCTTTTCTTAGAGATAGGATCAATTACGTTTATATAGCCTCCTACTAATTGTAATTCAGCATCTATATCATTTTCTTTCTCTACTACTCCATCTATAATACAAAATATTACCATTGACACTTGTATGTAAAATACTTTATTCTCCATGTTATCACAGTGTTAAGTATACCTAATAATGCTTCTACATGTTTATCAAATTGTATAAGTTTATTATCATTTGATACGTCTGTACTGATTTCAGATATAGCTTGTTTATATTCCTAAAATTTTCAAAATATATTACTTTTTCCATACATATATTTTATAATTATTTATATTGAATAATTACATTTATGATGGATCCAATATTATTTGGTGTAACATGATTGTCATTATCGTCATTATACAAACTTGATATTCGACATTTTATTATCTCTGTTGACTTTAATTTCTTATCTTGAATACAATTATTTTTCACTATATCCTTTAGTTCTTGTAACTTTTCATCTCTTTCATTGGATCCTACAAATATTAAGTACAACTAAATTGAAAGAATTATAGGAGTATTAGATACTTCTATAACTATGAAAGAATGAAAAGTACTAAATGTTTTAACCATTTCTTTAACATTATTGTAATTTGCAATTATTTACTTTTTAATATTTGGATACTTACCTTAACCTGATTAAAGTATTGAGAATTGAATTAGTTAACCTTACACATACTTACCATAGTAAGCAATAATATTTGCAGCAGTTTTTGTGTAAGCATCGTATAATTCTTCAATTACTTGTTGAGATTGTGTCATTTTTAATAATACTTCTCCAATGTTCTTTCAATTTTACTTTTTATGTTTCAACAAATTTTTGTAATGTATTATACATACATATCTCTATAATACGTAGATTTTAATCTATCATAATAAGAGTGATTATAGATAAAAATCATATGATAAATGACATTTCTAAAATCAGCCTTTTACAGGTTTTGTTCATAGTACAAACTATCATTGTAATTTAAGGCAAGATGTAACTTTCACGCCTTTCATTTCAAATGTAGGCGGATTATAAGTTTATAAATACTTTCTAGTGCCAGCAGTCTTCAATAGACGGCAGCATACATCTTGTAGACAAGGAGCGCAATAAGTGATAAGGACAGACTCGTATTGTATGATAGCATATGAAAGAAAGTATTAACATGACAAGGACAGCAATAGATTGTAGTTCCTTCGTTTTATCACTATGCAGGAGCACATAATAAAATCACTAGAAAAATCTAGGAATTTTATTTTTTAATAAACAACTTGTTGCATAAGTTTATTGTTTTAATAAAAATGTGATAACATTATCATTACTACTTTGCAGTTGCAAACAGTTAATTCTATCCTGTGTAACTGGTAATGTAAGCTATTACACATTAGTGTAAATTCTTTGATAAGAATTTATTTCAATCGGATTTATATTGATCCAATAATTGAATTATAATATATTTATATTTAGACTAACAATACTTTGTTATCTGCTATTTAACGTTGACGTTTAAAAAATTTAAAAATGTTAAAAATATGACACTTTTAATACGCAATTTGACATTACAAGTAACATAACCAAGTATATTAATTTCCTAAACTTATAAAAATAATTTATTGTAACTAGTAACTAGTAACTAATTGTAACTGGTAACTAATAATTATTTTTTTATTACACGTGAATAACAAAATGTGGAATATTAAAAGTTAAATGTAAAATCAAACTTTTTATCCGTTGTTTTATGTTTGTTGTAAATGTAATACTAATTTTTAAGTGCAGGATGTAAAAAAAAGGAAAAATGAGAATTAGATATATATATTATAGCAAACAACAAATTTATGAGAAATTGTAACATTGTTTTATCATTTAATGTTTGTGACTGTTTCTAGATGTTCGTTAAAATTTCTTTGTCTACAACTATCAAAGCATCAATTTCTTTATCCTCGTTAAGAAATATTCAAAGTTATTCTGTTGTCATGTCTAAATTTGACCTCCCTGATCGCTTAAAAGGCAATGATAAATCAGTATGGTAAATAATGTTTAATGGATTACATTAAAAATTTAAATATATGTTTACATATAAATACATGCTTTGAATTAATTTTAGGGTAGAATATATTCAGTTGGCTTTAAAATATAAACCATTAAATTTAGGGCAAGGACATCCAGATTTCTATGCTCCAGAAAATGTAACGAAAGCCTTAGTTGATGCAGCAACAAGTGACAATCCTCTTTTGAATCAATATACCAGAGGATTTGTAAGTATTTCAGATTTTTAAAAAGATATTTCATTGATTTAATAATATTGAATTTTGATTATTCGTGATTACAATAACTTACGGATTTTATTTTATAAATTTAAAATTTGTATTATATTATTTCAGGGTCATCCACGTTTAGTAAATGTTATTGCAAAATTATATTCGAAACTTTTGGACCGTACTTTAGATCCAAATAATGAAGTTATTGTAACTTGTGGTGCTTATGAAGCATTATATGATGTATTACAAGGTCACACTAATCCTGGTGATGAATGGATAATTATTGAACCATTTTTTGATTGTTATGTGCCTATGATTAGAACTGCTGGAGGAATTCCAAGATACATTGCTTTAAAGCCAGTAAGTAAAGTAACAAAGTTTATACTATTTACGTTGCAGTGAGCATGAACTCTTTATACTATTCACATTATATATTTTGTATTTTAAAGAAGAGGACAAATGAACTTCTTTCTTCTGCAGACTGGATATTTGACAAACAAGAATTAGAGAGTCTTTTCAATGAAAAGACGAAAGGGATAATTATTAACACTCCACATAATCCCATAGGAAAGGTTTTTACTTTAAATGAGTTGGAATTTATTGCAAATTTAGCTAAGAAATGGAATACTCTTGTTGTATCGGATGAAGTGTATGAATGGCTTGTTTACGAGCCATATAAACATATTAGAATTGGTAAAAATGTTTGATACTGTTAATGTTATTCTTATTAATTATTTTATTTAAGTAATAAATATATTGTAGCAACATTACCTGGCATGTACGAACGTACAATTACGATTGGATCTGCTGGTAAAACATTCAGCGTTACTGGATGGAAAATAGGATGGGCCTATGGTCCAGCAAATTTACTATATAATTTGCAAGTGGTTCATCAAAATTGTACATATACGTGTAATACACCAATTCAAGTAATTATTGAATTTTTAGGTTTATTGTTTATTGTAATATTATTTATCGTAGTTAAAATTTGTTTTTTTTTTTTGTTAGGAGGCTATAGCTGTTGGATTCGAACAAGAATTAGAAAGATTCGGTCAACCTGACTGTTACTTTGTGAGTTTAGCTAAGGAATTGCAACCGAAACGAGATTATATGGCTAAATTTCTTAGTGATATAGGGATGATTCCAACAATTCCCGAAGGTGGATATTTTATGATTGCTACTTGGACTGCTTTAAAAGATAAGGTTCGACTAGAAGAAGAAACAGATGAGAATAAAGATTATCGTTTTACAAAATGGATGACGAAAAATGTTGGAATTCAAGGAATTCCACCATCCGCGTTTTATGTTTCCGAACATAAGCACCTGGCTGAAGATTACGTACGATATTGCTTCATAAAGGTAAAAATATAAATAATGTCAATATCATATTTTCTTATTTATGATCAATTTTTTTTTCGTTTTCACCGTAGAAAGATGAAAATTTGAAGAAAGCAGCTGATATTTTAATGAAATGGAAATCTCAGCAATAATAAGAATTTCCATTATTCCAAGCAATTATCGAATTATTTAAATATCGTAAGACTAGTTTTGAAACTTTACTCAAATATTCTGTTGTATGAAATACAATAGACAATTTTTCATACTTGTATCACGTACAATTTCTGTAAACATATTGTTACTTTTGTTGTATTAAAATATTCGTATTCGTAAGATTATTGTACATCATATTTTATGCAGAGAAATCGCCACGAAGCCATCTTTTCGCATCTTTGGTGTCAGCTCCGAAAGTTTTGCCAAATCTAAATGTGAGATTTAATATTTAAAATTAAATTTATGATATACATGCCGAAATGATTACCTGAACGTTTCTCCAGGGATGTGCCCAAGATAATTTGGAAGCATGCCAACATGTTTGTGGTAAATAGTAGTGGGTTCGATTATAAGTGGTGGATCAGGTCGTGAAATTGTTACTGGTGCCCATTCTGTACTTTGTCGTTTTCGATAATCAGATGTAAAATCACAAAGGGCACTATTCGTAGCGGCAACATTTGTTTTTCCAAAATGCGCATATCCGTATGGTATATAACCCGTATATCCTTCAGAGATACGATATTAAAAATTTGTTATTACAAGGAAATACAATTAACGTTTATCCTCCCAATTTTCACACTTACTTCTTGCATTTTCTCGAATAAAAGAATATCGCATTCGTTTTTCACTCTCCGTAAGATCCATCTGTGCTACTATCTATTGTTGATATAACATTTGTAAAAATAATTGCCTATTTCTTACGTGTATATTTTTTAATTCATTTTAGGTCGAATTTGTGAAAATCATTAACGATTGAATAGTTTGTAAAACAGTTGAATCTTACGGAACATCGCTTATGTATACCGTAGGATTATTTGAAGGCAAATTCAAGTTAATAGCAAATTCCACTCACCACTCATAAAATGTTTCTCTGGGTTTGCATTGTCCATGAAGTAAGGGGATGGGGCGTGATCTCTGGGTGTTTCGTACTGTTCGTCCAAAAATAAATTCCTCATTACACCCACGCAATCAGGTCGAACTGTTAGCATAGGTAGTTTGTACTCACTTTTTATGAGCTACGCAAGAAATCCAAAAATAAGTTTGTTATTCTCATCCTTTTCTTTTTATTATTATTCTTTCTTTTTTAACTAAAAAAAAAGATCATATGTTAATGCATAGGTAGTCTACCAAACGATCTTCCAAGTTTCTTGGTTCGCCCTGTCCACTTTGTATGGCGACAATTTTTTTAACTTCATTAAGAGCTGCTTTATTTCGTAATTGTTGTCGTTCAAATTCGGCAAGCCCTTCTGTAGCAAGCACCGTGTATCGTTGTCCATTTCTGGCCAATAACTTTGGAGTAAATCCTGAAATAAAGAATTTATTTTCTCATTTAATGTTCATTCTCATTTCATCGTTTATAACGATACCTTCGTATCCTGGTTTTATAGGATGAATGAATATAGGATCAGTCGTTTTATATCTAGCATTTACTGTATCTATGTCGTCTTTTGGTGGTCTTTGGACCTACAGTTGATTATTGACAATTATAAATATATTATTCTAATTAATTGTAACTGATAGGCTAAATAATGACTATATTGAAATACATCACAGTACTTCATAATCGTCGGTGACACGATTCGACAAAATGAGAGTCTCCGCATGATTTACTGTGGGATCAAGAAGTAATTTGTGCGTGAGACTTCCGTATGTTTCGCCACATCTATAGCGATATTGAGGACAATATCCGGCATATCTGAAACGGACTTTTATGAAGGTATACAGAAAAAGATAACAAGATGATATGAAAGTTAAGAGGTAATGGTTTAAATACTTCCTTGTGCAACACTTCTTAGAAAACGTGTAATATATTACACTTTCACAGATAATGTATTCATATCTTTATGTTTAATGGGCAAACATTGTACTATTTACCCTGGAATAAGATGTGGTTTCGCTGTGGATAATAATTCTGTTCCAGTAGACATTTCTCTGATCTACACTTCTAACAGCACGTTAATTTACTTAAATTAATTTACATTATCACCAGATAATTAACTGGAGTTTAAATTACCTTTGTGTACAGGAATTTTATTTTATTTTTTTTTTTTTGAAAAACATTAATTTATCGACATGGCTGACCAAATGGTTATACGCTGAATTTTGCTTTAGAACTTGTTTCCCTTTGTTCGCCTTGAAGCTTGGAACAAACGAATCTTAATCGTTCAAGAAGAAGCACTGTTTGTGATGAAATGCATTTGTCATCAAACAGGTACATCACGTTAAACGTTATTCACGACAATTAAACGTATTTTTATTTATAATAATATTATGTATTATATTTAAAAGATACTCTAGCTTGATGCTTCCGGTATTAATCAACATTCTTCGCGAATTTGCAATGTTGAAGAAAGAACGAGAGGGGAGAAGCCCAGTGACTCAGTCGTTTCGTCGTTTAATTGCCATTACAGCTTCAGGATAGGATTAATTGCCATGAAGTTCGGGTTTGATTTCACTTTCCACGGTATAACGAATTAAGAGGGCCGCTAATTGACCGCCAGAAGGGCCATCCAACAGCCAAGTGGGGAGGAACGAATTTACGCAAGGGTAGGGAGAAGGACACGTTGCGTATACACAAACGTGCGAGGTGTGCGATTAACGTTTCGCTTTCCAGTTTTCACGGGGCTACCGCGGTGAAACGAACGCACGATTGTTTCCACAGAAGCAACGTTTTGCTTAAACGTGTCTCGTTGTAGCAGATAAGCGGCGATCTTGCCGTCTTAACAATGAAAGAACATTACATTTCGTATGGTATCGCCGTGACTCGAGTGTATCGATGTACAAACGATTTGCCTGTGTGCCACTGAATATGTAAATAATTTATATTTATAAATAATCTGCCGAACGTAGACATTTGTCCATTTTCACGAATGACTTTAACTTAAGAGAGATTCAATTTTGTAGTGATCGCAAGTGGTTGCATTGTTGTTGACAGAGATGATACAATAGAAACGTTTGAAAAACTCTTCAAAAAACGGAGCGACCGTATCCACGTGAAAGAAATCATAAAAATGAGCCCGACGGTTTCTTGCAAGAAAGCGCGTCGTTGAGTTGCGCAAGAGAAATATGTGGTTTCACCGTGAAATGAATTCTATATTCTACGTGGACGCTGACGTTACGCCTGCGAATTTGGCTAAAAATGACGGGGTATGTTATTTAATTGCTTTCTTTCTTCATCGAGTAACGTGTATTCTATGTAAATTGACTTCTGGCAAGAAAATATGAAACATCTCACGGACTAGCAACAAATCAATTATAAATCAAGGTATATTAAACTATTGTTTGTAAAAAGAAACAAAAGTATAACAACGTGCATTAATCCTCTGGATTAATCGTTTGCTTTCGATCCGATTTTCATATATCGGTTATTATTTTATCGTTAGATAATAGCCTCGCTGGTAGTGCACTCGTTTCCTTCATTCAGTCTTGATTCTCTATCAAAGAGAGTATGGTGGGAAATTCCGCGCGATGCGTCTAACATAACAGCAGAAGCTGGTAAAAAGAAAAGTGAAACTTATAAGGAGTATGTAATAGTTGACGGTGTGCTATATCTATGTGCTCACACGAATTCATCGACAGTGAATTAGAAGAGCAACTTAGAAACCGTGAAATTACCCGCACCCGGTATGTAATTTAAATGACACTTACGCTTTTACCGTAAATGCGTTACGTTGCCACTGTTGGACCTTTTATTTTTATATTGATCGTAAAATTAAAAAATTTCTCTCCTGGAAGTTTGTTTCATCGTGTAAAATTTTGATCCAAACGAATATTAATATTAATATTGAATTAATAATGTTACGAATAAACGAATTAATATTGTTATTTAGGAAAAAATCGACACTATATATATAGTGTGTGTTCCACTTTATTTGAACGATCTTTTTTTAAACTATCACGCCGCGATGTTATCAGTTTATCTGATTAAAGCAGCAAGGTAAAATTCCAACGTTCAATTGCTTCGTAATTGAGCTCTAACGTAGGAGGTATATATCCTATTCACTCTTTCCGCGACTCATTTTATCTACGAAAGAAAATTATACTCTGTTACTTCGATTTCACTTTGATACTTCTACGATTCTTCGAAAATATATTTGATCAACGTCCTCTTTTTATCTAACGACACACACATATACACAAATAAATAAATATATATATATATATATATATATATATTCATGTCTCTTCTCGTTAGCCGTATTGTGCTTGAAAAATGGCAAAATTGCTCCACGAGTGATAGCAATGAGAGCAGCTCCGCAATCAACGAGAGCTCGATCCAATAAATAAGATACCGCAATCTTTCGCACCGAGATTTATCAAATTGAAAAATTGTACAATCGATCAACAGCGACAATTAAGGGTCGATCTAGGGTGGATAGTGGCCAGGTGTGGCTCGGTAAAGGTAAATCAAACACGTTGCATCCGGTTCGTGTATCCCGTGTAGCCTGTACACGCGCCGCTGTGGCAAAGGAATAATAATTTTCTCCTCTCTTCCTCTGACGTTTTGTTTTCTGTCCCTGCGGCTGGCACGAACAGACCGGAAGCTTTATTATCGCGCAGCTCGTTGCAAGTCGTGGGTGGACGCATAGCTGAACCATAGGCAAAGATATGCGCGGTACAAATTCCGTCTCTGAGAGATTCATTCGACCGCGAACGCATCGAACGCTCGAAGCTCATTTTCACTCCTAAGCTAAGACTATTTTACACGTCGTTTTATTTATTCTTTGTACGTCACGAGTGTTCGCGTGTCTCCGCCAATCTGCGAAAACAATCGGCGAGCGCGTGGCTTCGGACATAAAATAACTTTTAGCCATTCGCCAGCCAGAACTGGAGAATTTACAATCGTTCAATTACTTCTCACAGACTTTTGTCGTTGAGGCAAGCCTGTTGAGAGAACGTCTGTCATTCGATAGCCACTTACGTGCGAAAATTCACGACGCGTCCGGTAAACAGATTATTCCTCTGTCATCCCGAAGAGGCTAACCACCTGTACGTACACCGTCAATCATGTTCATCCGTACGATCGTGTGAAACGACGTTGATCGATCGTTGATCGATCATTCTCCTTCGACGCCTCGTTTATATACGTACGTTTTACTCTAAGACAGATAAAATCACGAACAATTCTTTGTTACATATCGTTACTAGCTTCATCAAGGATTTGTTCTCAGACAGGATTTCCTGTCAGGAAATGGAAATCTATTTGCATCGCTGTGACACAATTAAACAGAACCAATCTCAATTGAGGATTTCAATTCAGTTCAATTAGACTGCCCGGGCAATATTGTCTTATACTTGAATCGTTGAAGAAGAACTTTGCAATGTTAACGTCGCTGCCTTTCAGACAGACCACACGTATCTAACCATCAGTCTTCGATTCTTTGTATTCTCTAGTTCCATTGACCCTGATTATCTTCAAAAATTCAAGTATGTGTTTATTGCAGATTCTTATTACCGATCTTTACGCAACATTATGACGTCTTCATCATTTCTCCAGTTGCATAAACAAGCGGCGCGTATAATCGGCTGCAATGGCCAGCAGGCCAAAGTATCGCTAAGTACCGATCAACCTCATTAACGTCATTCGAGCGAGGTGGACAGTGATCGATCGCGCAGGAGGCAGGACACGCGGTGTTGCTTTCTGTTCGGCAGTCGCGCATGCATAATCCGTATACGCCAAGCAACGGCGCATGCGCCTTCGATCGATCGATAAATTATGCAGCCTATTGCCTCGCGCACGTAAATCATGCGCGCACGTTCAACTCAACCCTTTGCTTTGTCGTTGTTCCTTCTGTTTCTCCTTTTCTTTTCTTTTCTTTCCTCTTCTTCATTCGTCTCTTGCGCTCCTTCCTCTTTCGTCTTCGTTCTTCCCTCTTCCTTTCTGTTATTATCGTCTCCGATGTATCCGCCTTTACGTCTTTGTCCCATCCATTTTGAGACACATCCACGTGCGAGAAACGTATCCGCACGATCGTCGTGACTCGCATTGTATTCGCTGCATTTTCATTGTCCCGCGGCCCGCACGGCCCGGGAACATCGACGGGCATCTAATGGCCGATGACCAATCAACCGATTGCCGATTACGCTCTCGCATACTGTTGTCAACAGAATTGGTGAGGTCCCGAGCGAAAGAATTAGCGTCGTCGGTTTGCCTCATCATTGTTGGGCTACTGAAAAGATAAAGAAAATAAGAGTTTAGACCTGATGATGACAGAGAAGGAGGCCTGTCTATCACAATCTCAATCTATCAAAATCCACGTCCAGCCGGTGAAAAAAAAACCGCGTTTTTCACAGCGTTACGCGCAATCGGACACTGACTCATCGACGTGCGCGTATGCACATCAGCGAACAAGGGAACAAGGAGCGTGTGCAAGCGCTTTCGTCCTTCCACGAGGATGATCCTCCGCGCGCGTTCTGTATTCCACCCGCCGTGTCCATTGAAATGCTATCGAAGTCTCGTTTCGATAGTTGTACAGGGATACAAAGGATTATATGGAAGCTTTTTTCTGATGCGTTCCCTGTTCTCAGGTTCGATTGTTTCGCGGTGTACAGTTGCGCGCATACGCACAATAGAGGGACTGTTGTAAAGATACTGTTCCTTTTTAGTTATCATCCTAACTTTAACTACAGTTCTCGTGTAATTCCTGATTCCGAAAGATACAATACAAAGGCATAATCACATAAACAAATAAGTACCAAAAGTATATACATATATTAAACATAATAGAAATTAAGTACCAGAAGTATATACATATATATTAGACATAATAGAAACTATAATAGAAACTATAATAGTTTCTTTGGCAATAAACGTGATGTGGAGAAGATTTTATCAGTTAATGTTGATTGAGGAAAATATTTAATCTCTATCGAGTGAAGGAAAACTTTTCATTTGATGATAATCTTATCGATTGGTTAAATTGTAAAAAAAAAAAAAGAAGAAAGAAAGGTGTGTGTTTGCCGATAGATACGAGAGGAATGCTGCCAGTATAGAGATCAGTATGATCCTCCAAGTATTAAAAGCTAAACGTAGATATTTGATGATAATCAAGCATCTCGTTCAACATTGACTCGAATGAAACTTTTAAAAAGCATGTATCAAACTTTTTCCGAAATGCTGAGATAATATTCTCATTTCTTTTGTTCTTTTCTCTTAATTTCTTGGACGATACCTATAAGAATTAATTCGAAAATGTACCCTCCGCAGAAGCAGTTATCCTCGGCGAAGAGATTTCCCACGGATACAATGTTGTTATCCCTTTCAACTGAAATCGTTAATGGAAAGTATTTCACTGAGATACATTTAGCCGGTTATCAAGGACAATCGTGCGGCTTGCGGTTTTATCGAGTTCTCTCGAAAACCGCAGTTTCTCGTGACTGTGCTCCTCAGGAAGTGGTATAGACTTCCTTATGATCCCTCACGATGCAAAAGTTTTTGAATAAATTTAAATTTATTGAACAAAAAAAGTGCCACAGCTCAGTCTGTTACTTACATTATGGTATTTTCACATTATTTTTTACACTTTCTTTGTTATCGGAATGTCGTTTCGTTCAAAACGAATCAAAAATAAGGATATTACAAATTATATATATATATATATATATATATATATATATATATATAATAATAATAATAAAATATAAATAATAAATATATAATAATAAAAAATAATAATAAATATATAAATAATAATAATAATATATAATATAATAATATATATATAATATATACATATAACTACCAAGCAAAGGCAATTTGTACTGTATGATAATTTTCTGTGACAGTGGATCTTTTTGATGAGGACAACATTCGTTATTGCATTGTGTAGGAGTCGAATCACGCAATTATGCTTACTTCGTATGAAAGCAATAAACAAACGAGCCAACAGGTACTGAAAATAACAGACAATTGGTAAAATGCGCTTGATCGTGTCACACGGTTACCGCAAGAATCTCGATTATTGCTTCAATTAAACATTCAGACATTTTTCGAAGCTGTTACCAATTGCTATAGTAATATGTGAGTAGTCTCTGAGCAACGCGAATTCAACGCATCCTTTGAATTCTCTCCTTCATTTTTCTCGGAAATTAAACGCTTGCGCTTTATCGAGTCATACCAATTTAAACGGTTCTAGCCGATCCAATTAAGCAAAAAAGTGTACCACTGACGCTGTAGTTTCGCGCGTCGAAAACGATGTAAAGTGTATTCTGATAGGCGGAGACACAGATTCTTCCTGGAATGCGGTCAGGTTAGAACCGAATGTGGGAGAGCCGTGGCAGGGAAAAAGATCGCGTGGGCAAGAAAGAGATCAGCAACCGGGAATGTCGACATTTGCGACCGAGCTATTGTCCCGCTGCGATCGAATTAAGCTGTTTCAGCTGCTGAAAAACGGATGGAATGAGATGATCACCGAAATACGTACGAGACAAATTTAACGTGATTATAAATTCATTGTTAGAATCGTATTGCGTGTAACGTCCGTTTGTCTAACAAGTGTATGTACGAACGTGCGATTGAAAATTAAAATTATTTGTTCGATGACGAAATATATTTAATACAGGTCTGTTTGAAAGTTCAGTTAGGCTTGAAAAGATAAAAGGTAGAAGAGCTAATGTACCTGCACTATTGATAGACAGCCTCTCTTGGAAGCTTCTCAAGGGATACTCTCGAGGGATAAGCCATGGAAAAAAATAAACCCGCGGTAGAGATCTTTAGTATTAACGGTAATTTACAATTCATTTTGCAGAATATGTGGTTCGAGTAATAAAGTACAAGACAATGAGTTGAACGCTGTTGGTATCTAAATTGGTAAAGAGAGACAGATGACAGATAAAAAAATCTTCAGATTCATAAGTCTAATGTACAAAAGAGCATACTATTATTTATAATCATCTACGTCACTTATTTGAAAAATAAGTAACAATATAATTTTGATCAAATGTATTGTTGATTCGCAGAATTGAATTTTTTAAATTTTACACTACCTCGCCTCTTACCTTCTATTTATAAATATAAATAGAAAATATAGAATATTAATATATTACTCTCAATATATTACACCTAACATTTTACATCTCAATCGAACAGTACCTACATCCGCGCAATTCATTAAAAATGGATGAAAGACGACGATGTGAGAATTTTTCTTTAGTGTCTCGAACGAAATCGCCGTTGAACACATCGTGGGATTGATTTTTTAACATTATTGCTAGTTATAGCTGGGCATACGCGCGGCTGCCTCTCAAAGGGTGCAATCGTCCGTCGATTGATGGTAAAAAGTTATTTGACCTTCTGGAAAATACGTGATTGCGTAATGGCCTGGAGGTTGTCTGGTCGTTTTATTCTTGCGCTTCTGGTATTTCGCTTAATGAAATAAATAAAACGTCGATTGTAGTACACGCGTGGAGCTCAATGGGCTTAAATGGTACCTCTGTTGGCCGTGGGGCAGCGTTCCACCGGTTTCTAATAAATGAGCAATATTAACATTTATACCGCGCACCGTGATGTTTCCTTCTACACCGTAAGCGTGACTCATAACTGCCTATCCCGAACGCTTTATAATGGTAGTAGTACCATAATCTATACACCCTCTGGGGAACAGTGCACACGATAGTGCGCACCAAGTATATCATTAAAGTACAAGAACACAAACACCGTGGAAAATAGTTTGCGCCTGGTTCGCCATGTACTGTACACGGTGTGAAGGAAAAAGGGCAGTAAAATTTAGAGTGTGTCTCGCTGAAGTAAAATGTGTCTTTTCTACTGAAAATAATATTCTCAAATTAAATGGACCAATTTGAAGAACTGGCAAATTGTAATTGTACATTGACATAAAGTAAAATAATAAAATAATAAATAATAAATAAATTAAAGTAAATCGATACTAGTAAACTGAAGTAATTGCCAAAGGAAATGGTATGAAAATGTTAAATATTTGATGATGTATTTGAAGTAATCATTCGGTGCTTAATATTGAATAGTAAAGAATAACAGCTGCAAACAAGAAAACAAAAGTGTTTCAATAACTTTTAATAGCTAAACTTTTGATTTTTGAGCTTACCTTTTTTTTTTTTTTATTACTTTGTACGTGTAGCATGCGTGTACTACCATTATAAAGTAGCATGCATACGTGCGCACGCAAGTACGCGGAAAGAACGTCTTCAGGATTGGTCCAGTGGCGACAGCCTCTGTAGTTTACATGTTAAACAAATTGAATGGATAGTAAATTACTTAAGCCAATACTTATTGCCGCATTTATACGTCCTGTGATTACCAAGCTCCGTGAGTTTTACTCTTACAAGGTACACGATTGTTCACGGTGTGTTGAACTTCGAGTACACACGGAGTAGTCTCGCTTCTCTTTGAAACGTTGTTTCTATTCTACGATTTTATATTCTCCAAGATGAATGTTTTCTTTTTTATCTGTAATTATAATTATTATTTCTTTCTAACTGACACGTCTATGCGACGATTACTTTCCTTTGCGTGTTTTGTCGTATTTCACTCTTTCACGGTGTATTTAACTCTTACGAAGCTTCTTCACGGCGTGTTAAATCGCACATTGTTTTTGTATAAAGCTCCCTTTGTTTCCTTTAACGCGTTATTTATATTCTGTCTAACGTGTTATTCACTCCGGCTCTTCCTTTTCCTCTTCTTTTATTCGTTTCTTTTTAGAATTTCATTTTACGCCAGGAACATGGCTGAACTGGTGGAAGTTGGAACATTACCAGCTTATGTTGCACATTCTTTCGTGTATACACGCGGGTATAATATAATACATCTTTCACACGTGTCACATACGTATATCATCATATTGTTATATTCACGCATAGGTGATACACAAACGAAAAAGCACAAAGAGCTACTATAACATCCTGTCAACTGTCGCTTACTGTGTTCAACCATTTAAATCCTACCAACTGTCAATTGTTATAATTCCTAGAAAAATAATATATCCTTCTAATAATATAACCTATTAGAAACGCTAGCTTTCAATAATTCACAAACCTTAGGTCGCATCAACTTTTCGCAAACGTGAGAGTATTTCGATCGCAAGAGAGACATCAATAATTCATTTGTTGCAATTTTCGCCCCCAAACTAAGGTCAGGAATGTTTGCTTTTTCATAGAAAACCGCCAAACGTTGCTTACTTGACGACTTGAGCAGTGCACGAGGGGAGGGGGTGACGGAAGTATGGTAGGGGATTTGCGAGTACCACCTCGCTCAGTATCGTTCGACCATTGGTCAGGTGTGTTTCGCAGTTTGTTCGCTGATCCAAGTGTATTATTCGTTTTGGTAAACACGTCGGTAAATAAATTCTTTCGACCTAAATTAACGAAACGTCAAAGCGTTGAAAATCGGGACGAACACGGTGACGGGGACGCGCGTTAATCGTCGAAGTGACAGTCCCGGTGTCGAGCTGTTTTCAAACTTTTCCTATCGTGGTGATCACGCGATGTTTATGGTTTCCCGGCACTCTGATATCCGATCCAAAGGTGACCAGTGAAACACCAGTGGCCGTATGATCGTGTCGACGATATTCTCGAGTGTGACCGGTTTCCATCGGCGACATTCGAACGACGCCGGACGAAATGCCGAGTTGACGGTGAGTGAGGTGCACTTTTTCAAATTCCACGCCGAAGTTCGCCGCGAAGTTCGTATCGAGTCGCGACCAACTTCACGCTGCTGGCTCGTTGACAGGTGGTCCTTGCCCCCACCGTACACTGATTGCGTTACATTTTGTATATCTTTGTTTAAATAACGTGAATTATTATAAAAATTTATATTTATTATTTATATTGAATTATTATAAAAATTTATTATTTTTATAATTATTATAAAAACAAATGAAACGTTACAACGTTATACAGGGTGGTACAATTGAATAGAATGTGATTCGTTTTGTACTTTATGTACAGAAATATCGGTATAAAACAGTAGTTCAAGTGCAGCTTATATTGGAATTTTTCAATCATAAAGTGGAGCAATTACAAGGATTGTAATTAATAATATTACTCAGAATACTAATCAAAAAGATATTAGTAAAAACATCAACTTCTTAATATCCACTCAATTTGCGTCGATATTAGGGAAAAAAAACGTAATGTAGAAAATCAAATGTTACATTATTATATAAGTATACGAGTGAAAATATTTGATAGATGCATGTAAGTAGAAAATAAGAGAATAACGATAAGTTATTCTGTCACATTCGACTGAACTAATCGAATAATTTCACTTTCTAAAATCTGTTTCGCAATTTGAAATTCAATTATAAAGTTAATGGCATAATTTCATACATTATTATTATTAGTCACCGTTCATAAGCAACGTTCCAATTTCTACCAACGTATGAGCATGTTTTCTGAAAGTGGTGCAAGTTCAATTTTTGAAAAATGAATTAAGACTAGTTTCGGTCACACGGATGTGATGATGTCGTCTTCGTTTTACATTTATGATAACAAAGTCAATGCTGTAAATTCCTTCGAAGAGGAATTCAACTGTTAAATGTCATTCAACTCATTTTAATCATTATCTTTTCTACAAAAGAAATATACTTCAGAGAAGCCTACTTCAATCAAAATGTAAATTTGAAATTGTTCATGTTTTTCAAAATTCGAATTATCATCGAAAGTGGTATAAGTTCATTTACAGCTAATAGAAATCTTCTTATTTTCTTATAACAATTTTAATAATTATCATAACACAGTGAAATTTAACGTGTTTACAGTGTTTTGAAAACGTCGCTCGAATTTATCAACGTCTGTTAAATTAAATACTTTTAATTATAGTTATTTTATATTATTTTTTTATAATATTTTTAATTATACAGTTACTTTATTATTATAGTCAATTCAAACGCAGACCCTTAAATCTCAATTATCTGAGACACTTGTACCATATTCAAGAAAAACGGCCCGTGTACTAATCATAATATATAAAAACAAATGCCAGCCGTTTCCTTTATACTCCAAAGAGGAGTATACGTATTACGTAAAAAAACATCTGCAGTTTACAAAACAAACGGTGGATCCTGGCGGGGTCGGATTTATGCGGAATTACTCGCAGAAGTTTCGCACGTCAATGATACGTATTCCAAGCCCTCGCGTGGTCGGCCTCGCATTGTCGTCGGCGGTGACAATAGGGAACAAAGTAAACGGGCTCGTTCACCGCGACCGTTATTCATTGTTATGCGCCGTGACGTGGACCACGGCCACGTTTAGCCTCGTTAAGAACAATTAAAAGTAACCGACGAACCGAGCATTGCTTAATTGCCGCCCGCGAACGTCCCCCCCCCTCCCCTCCTCCCCCTCCCCCCTCCTTCGAGAGACTTTGGTCCAGAGACTTTCATCTCTCGAAGTCGGAGTTAAAAGTTCGGGCGGCAAGCACCGGTGTGACACGATAATTTCTCAAGTTAGCATATTCGAACGAAGGATCGTCGATTTCATTGGGATGAATAAACTAAAGTCTTTCGCTAAATTTATCACGATATACATAATTAACGCGCTCGTCAACGTTCCTCTCGCCCTGTTTCTTCCTTTGTTTGAATCGCGTAAGCGGCATTGTGAACCGCTAGCAAGTTTAGTCTTCGACCCTTCTCTTTTCCTTCCTTTCTGTAAAAATAACCAGTCTCCACACTGATTGTGAGAGACATAATGGCTCTAGGCGCGAGCCGACCGTTGGCCGGATTTTCACGAAATTTGCAAGATTCCCATGAGGTCCCGCACTTTTATTCTTCTACCGAGAAACTTATTCTTCGTCGTTCCCTTTTTTTTCGCGACGATTCAGTCGTTTCGGTAACGAGGACTTGGCGTGTTATGCAAATCGGTGGACATTGTGGGTAACATACAAG